GGGGGAAGAAAGAGATGGGGTAAGTTCACAGGTTGATCCCTTCCCCACCCCCTCCGTCCATGTTGAATGTGGAGCACGCTGGAGTCGGAGAGAGGAAAAGAGGGGAGATAGGAAGGGAATTGGGAAGGGAGTGACAGAGAGAGCAGGCGGAATTGACTACAGAGAGGAATAGACAAAAGAGAGGGCCAAAGGTGAGCCAACGGGACAATATTTACCTTGCGGATTGTGAGTGCACACAGACACACATACCCCTCTCGATGAGTCGGCAAAAGTCCCACAAAACAGTCTGGCACAGTCATGCTTTTTTGTGGAGTTGTGTATCACAAACACAACACACACACACTTAAACAGAAATGATATAATGACTTTTCCGCTCGTGAAAACCTCTCTTGTCTAGAGATGTCAACTCACAGTGCATCGCTTGATAACAGAATATACATGGGAACAGGGTTACCCGCCCGAACGTTCCAGGGGGGGTCTCCAACCCCCCGCCCGAATATTCGGGTGTCCGGCTGAACGTGAGGGGGGCAAACTTCCCAAAATCTGGCCCCCACCAGAAACCATTTCGGGGCATCAATTTTTTTTAATTTTCTTTTGAATCTTTTTTTGTGAATTCTGTGGCATGTAGGGTACATGCCTATAAATTTTCAGGGCATTTGGCTCATCCAAAAAAAAAWTTGGTACCGCGTGTGTTTGTCAGAGAGAGAGAGAGAGGGAGGGATACAGAAAGGGAGTTGCGAGAAATGAGAGAGACGCGGGGGGGACGAGATAGGGGGAGACTTCGAGAGAGAGAGAGAAATGGGGAAAGAGAGGGACGGGGAGACACAGAGAGAGAGCTAGCGGGCGTTCAGTTTATTTTTCTGCATAACATACTTTTTTTCCGATTTTTTTGAGGTCTCTCTTTTCCTTTTTCTTTTTCTTTTTTTTGGTGTTCTGGTTCGGCCAAACGTTCGGCCGTTAAGGTTGGGCAGGACGGCCGGACCCGGGTACTGACCAACTAAATGAACCCAGTACGAGAAGAAAACAAATATATATATATATATATAAAGAAAAAAACCGTCAAGAAGGGAAGGCCACAACTGGGTTTCCAGACTGCACACATTCATCCTTTGGGTGCCGCTGAAGCAGAAACATTTCACTAGTTCCATGGCAGAATTGGTGTACACCCCTAGAAGAGGCAATGAAGAATATCCTATGATTTGCATGCACTGAACACCTCCGTCCAGTGCACTACCCCTTATCCTTGCCCAAATAGCTACTACAATTCAATTGTGCGTCTTCCATAAAAGACTTCCTAATTAAAGCACAGTTAAGATCCTCAGACAGCACACGCCACACTCCATAAAAGTGACTGCCGCAACATACCGGGTGACCGTGAATTTCATGACTCCGAGATGCGACTCTATCAGCTGCTGCGTCATTCTCGAATGTCACAAAGCCAAAACCACGGTGTGTGTTCTTCTTTGGATCCTGCACAGGCATCATAGAAAAAGCGAAGACATTGCAAAATATGTCACATGTCATGTGAAAGTGGCATGCATGATTACAATAGCATAATCCACGCATCCATCCAGAAAATTGATCGTCCAGGAGAGGGTTCGGGTTCAGTTTTAGGCACCAAACCCACCCAGCAACAAAAACTTCTGCAGCATTGCCTTCTACCACGTTTCACAGCCATCGCCTTTCAAACGCCAACGCCTGAGGCAGGAGCAGCTGTAATCAAAAGAACAGAAAAAAAAGCTTTCCTGCACCTATCTACTTTTCAATGCTGCGTACTCTATATCATGATCATTTGGTGATTTACATATCATGAAGACTCAGGATGGGAAGGGATGGGTGCTACAGTACTACTCCGGAAGAGCAAATAGATGGTGAGATTGTCGTAGGGCTCCACATGGAGTGGTTGGCAAGATGGCCGTTCGCGGACAGGGATTACGTGGCAGGTGGGACGTGAAAGAGAAAGTGAATCACCAGGGGCAGACAGCGTTGCACTTCTCTTTGATTGGGTGCCTGGCGCTTGGGCGTGGATGAGATCAAGCATCATTTTCACCACATTTGACCAGTACCGAGGGCGGACAAAGGCAACTGCGACTGGAATTGTCAGTACTGCAACCTTGTACAGCAGGAAATTGCAACGCACCACGAGCATTCCAAAGCTCACAGTACGACATGCGACACGACGAACATCTGCATGGTTCTGACCATGGATAGAGGAGAGAAGGGAGGGCGTGGCCATCCAGAGGCCATTCTTCTTGTGTGTGAAGGGGGAGGATCTCGGGTCATCCACAGCATCAGATGAAGATGGAGATGATGCGTGGTAATTGCAGGGGGGGGTTCCAGGCATGCCCTGCCGGAAATGCCCTGCCGGAAGTGCCCAGCTATCCATCTCGTCAACAACGAGGCAACCGAGGTTGCTGGCTTCCAGGGGGTCATGGACCACAGTGAGGCTGCACCACGGGAGTTGGACACGTGCATTGCCTTCCAGAACATCCCACTTGACATAGTGCACAGTGAAGATGCTTATTGATGACCGATTCTACGCTTTGCAACAGTGAGGGTGGTGAGCCTTTTAGTGGTGCCCCCGCGTCAAGGTCATGGGCCATCACTGACAGCAGTGGCAGCAAAATAACTGCCTGATGGCTGGAAAGATCGCATGAGGAGTCGGCATGTCAACGGGATGGTATCCTTCCCGACCGGTTCTCTTCTGGGGTTCAGAATGCATGTTGAGGAGACAGAAGTGCGAAGAAGTATATCGTAAGATGCTAACCTGCGTACCATCGTGTTGGCACTCGAAAGCGAATACGAACACGTTCGCCATAACGCTAACAAGCACCCAAAACCCTCCAAACGCAAACATAAAAAAAAAACAAAAAATCTTCAAAAAATCTGAAAAAATATATGTCATGTAAGACAACAACACTACCAACTTTTGCCTTGGAGTCATGTTAAAATTCTTAGCCAAACGTGAGTTAAAAATCCAGAAAAAAAAAAGTTTGCCTGAACACGTTCGTGAGCCATTCGCGTGAACGCGGGGGGGGGCGCGAATACGTTCGCGGTGCTACACAGATGCTAACAATCAAGGAAAAGAAGCAGACGTAGGTGCAGGGTGTGAACATAGACACAACTGCATTTTGCTCACACCTCGCACATATTGTGCGAGGGACGTTTCCAGCCATTTTCCCTGTGAAGGCAATGCTTTCCGCCATCCTCCCTGACCTGTGTATCGTCCACCTCATCAATGTTACACTGCTCGACTTTGCAATAAACTGAGTAACTGGCAGAAATTGCCAGCATGAAATTATATATGAACCACCACGGGGGAAGCAGCTCCTGCAGCCGGTATCCACACGCTTCACGACCGACTACCACATATTGACAGGCTGAGGAACATACTCTGTGGGTCGACTGAAACGCTTATGCTCGTGGATCCAGATCCCTTGAGCAAAGAGGCTTGCTTCATACGAATGTAGCAAACAGCCCAGCATCACGCTTTTCATATAAGATGCAAGCATACATCGGCTTCTAGGAAAGATTTTAAATAACCTCAATGGATCTTAGATTGCAGCACCCCGCAGTTCTCAAAGTAAGGCGGAAGCAGAAAACAAATGACCATCACAGTGAGGCAGATCATTGTGACACATACCCATCACAATGCAACGCATTGCATTACGGCCTTGAACTCACTGAGAAATGACCAAGTTCAGGCAACATGACGCCCGGACCAGTAAACAGCGACATGTGCCAAGAGAACCGCAAACCGTTGCAGAATGCATTGGGACGTCTTGGTGCGAATGCTCACCTTTGGGATGTAAACATCCAAGATCCTTCCGAAATTGTTGAAGTAACGCCGAAGATCTTCAGATGTGGTCTCCGGTGGTAGCCTTCCAACAAAGATCTTCGTCCCAATGCCCATACCAAGTGCACCCCTCAACATTCCTGGGGCCATAATTCCTCCGCGTGCTCCATCAAGGCTCGATCTCCCTCCAATCCCTCCCTGCCCTGCCGCACCACCGAGCGAATTAGGACCGAACACGCTTCCTATTGGCAGGTTGCCATACTGCTGCATGTGCTGTGCCAATGAGGGGTCGTATGTAGACCCATCCGCTCCAGAGTATCCATCAAAAGAGGTGACCATACCAGAACCACCCCACCCTGCAAACCTTCCCCCCATGCCCATGCCCATCATTCCCATGCCCAACCCCATCCCGAGACCCATACCAGTACCCCATCTTCCATAGCTCTCCTCCTGCAAGGAAACAGGCAGTGGCAAGCACTGTCAGAATGGCATTGCTGGTCCTGTTCAGCACCTTTGTATGGTGCCCCTAGAACCACCACTCGGTTGCTGCAAATAGAATCAGACAGACATCAAGGGGGACATGCAATGTGATTGAACTCGAGCCTGCCCACTCTATAGAAAGGAAACCCCTGCCGTCCAAGCACATCCACTCACACACACATGGACCTTGTAAACTGTGCACAAACCCGACCAAAACATCCACTCACACATCGACTTCACAAATTACACACAATCCCGACCATGGAGAGCGTGAAAGAAGGTTGCCCAAGCAGGCATACTGGCGAACTGCATGATGACCACCAACAGCTGCTGAACAACTGTGTCTGAGTGTGACAGAGAGAGCGCGAGAGGTCACGTAAGCCAGATCACGCAACTGCACATTACATTCAAGAAAATAGCAGATCAACAAAATGACTGTGTTTGTACACGGGGCAGAGAGGGAGAGAGAGAGAGGGAGAGGAAGACGGCGGAATGGGTGTGCAAGCAGACAAATTCACAAGGTGGCAAATCACTTGGAACATTCTCCACTCCCCCTTCTCAAGAGATCGAAGAAATCAAACCGAACATCAAACCAGCACCACAGATGGGTATGAAACTTACCTTTGTCTGGGCTCTATCAATCGCAACAGGCTGCCCATCCAACTCGTGAATATCTTTCATTATCTTGTCGACAGATTCTATCACAGAAAAAGGAAGACAGAAACAACACAGGAAAGAAATTCCATGAGCACCGTGCCACTGTCATTACATAAGACTGATGGGAGAACTACATGAGCAGGCAGAGGCCATCCATCAAATCAGTGGCACCGGGCTGTCCATCAAGCCCATGCAGACAATTACCTTATCGAGGACAGTTTCACGAACAGAGGAAGAAAAAAGTGGGACGAAGGACTGACTAAGAGAGCTGCAAAACGTTTGGCGAAACTTTCAAGGCTACTTTTGAAGAGCAAAGACCAAGAGAGGAGAGGAAAGAGACGAGAATTTTCTTTGCACAGAACCAATGGATGCGGGAATACAAGAACCAAACACTCAGGAACACATACATCTCATCCAGCGTATTGAACGAACTCCAAACAAGCACTGACATTAACTCCCCGTCTACCAACTGTTTCCCATAAAGAGCCTACCACTACCTTTTGTGGACCCCCCCACTGGTTACTGGGAGGTCCCCCCTTTTCAGTTGGTGCATTAAATTCGCAACACCTTTTTCTGCACGCGTTAGCCAAACCTTTCAGGAGGTGACGGTGTTTTAAACCACGAGCACTTGGCCCAGCTGTCTAAGCCGAGCCTCCGACCCCCCAGCGCGCCAAGTCCTACCGAACCGCAGTCGGTCTTTTTTGTTTTCTTTTTGGCTGTGGCCTCCAGCCAATGCGGTCCGCTAGGCCGAAGCATGAATGCCGCGGCACGTTAACGGGGTAGCGCCGGGGCCGATAGCTGGGCCAAGTACTGGTGGCTTAAACAATCCCCGGAACCCAACAAGAAATACGAGCCACACGCCAACAAGCCCACTGCATAGCATTGGAATTCCTTCTGCACAGCATGGAACAAATTGCAGTGCACACTACAAACCGATCTCTAGTCCGCACGCAGCAGGTTCACGACTGTGGGTTGCACAGCACACACACACACACACACACACACACACACACACACACACACACACACACACACACACCTATAAAGAGCCACATCAAGAGTTTAAATACTCCGACAAGCAATAGTGCTCAGGGACTTCGAACGTCAGCCAAAGTGCAAGGGGAAGGTTGAGCTCTTGAGTGTGAAGACTAGTTGAAAGATGATGAGAGTGCCAGTTTGACGACTGCCACGCTCCTTTGTTGCATTCTTACTCACCAGAGTTTTCAAAGGTGATGAAGCCAATACCTCGATGCCTCTTGGATGTGTGGTCCTGTAAAAAGCCAAGCAGAGGAGTGTGGTTGAAGCCTTGCACAAAACCTCAAACGCGTCGATATAAGACATACCGTTTCATCGTTCTTGCAGTGCAGTTTCTAGAGCTGGATATGCCGAGACTACCGTCTTCACCCGAGTAGAACGCCCGATCATTATCGCTGTAGCTAGACTTGAAGTTGCCCCAAAAAACAGCTATAATGACCAAGCGTTGTATTCCAATGAAGACGGTAGCCATTGAGGACATTATGCAGCACACACCCATCGACACAGCTACATCAGAGGGGCTGCTACTAATGACCACAGTCATCCGATTGGGCACACAGATAAGCAGAAAGGTCCAGACACATATTGACACAAATCAATTAATTCATTTGACACAGCTCTGTGCCAAACGAAATCATGGTCCCATACCACTTCATCGAACCAACAGCAAAGACAGGCGGCCGACGAAAAGCCAAGTGGCTGCAATACCCATCACCGCATGTTGAAAATGACATCAAAAGAAAGCCCCATCTGGGATGGAGAAGATAAACAATGGACAGGCAGAGCATAAACTGTGCACAAGAAAACAACAGAGAAGACCCCGCAACCGAGTGATAAAACAAAAGCAATCTCCTTAAATACCTTGGGCATATACGCATCGGTGACGTTTCCAAACTTCTCAAAATACCTGTGCCGGCAAAGATAGAAGATACCATAGAATGTTCAGATTAGACAGTTGTTCCTAGATCCGATAATTCCTCAAAAAAAACAACCACCTCTCAGTCACTCATCCCCCATCTGCTTTTCCACACTACGCAATTTCGACCTCCCCCATCCAACCTTCCCTCACTGTGTACAAACCCACTCTCTGCATCAGACCAGAAGAACGACAAAGTAATATGATCCTCGTCACTTCATTCTTTGATATCTGGAAAGTTGTTCACACCCTGGCAGCTTTCAGTTTGTGGACATAGGGAGATGATCCCTAAACCTGACCAGTTTTTCCCCCCAGTGTCTCTCTCTTTCACATAATATCTGCATCCTTCTCCTTGGCCTGGCCAAGTACTGTCAAATTGAAATTTTTGAAGCAGCAACAGACAGCCAGGTTGTCATACATACTTCAGCATTGCTCTTTTCCGACCACCTTCCCCCAAATAGGACCGTACGATGTTCGGTCATTACGGCTGTGTTTGGAGAAACGGTCGTCACCGCCCCTAGATATGCCATAACGACCAAATTTGAGGGGGGAAGACGGTGCGCATACAAACGAACAACTGTTGTCCGTGAGTGCCAGCCTGCTCCCGAAAATCATGCCATATACAAGCAGGCTGCGGGTAGGATTGGTACTGGCCTAGTGACCCCTACAAAAACAACTGAGAGTACCGGTTACGGACCGGCGGATCCCAGTCAAGACACTTGGCGCCACCATTTTTCTTAAAGGCCAAAAGCCTCCACTAAGGCTAGGAACTTCCGGGGTTGGTAAAATAGTTTGGTCCCACAAAGAAGAATCCGCTGCACTGTCCTTCGGGGCATTCGTTAAAATTGGAACGATACAGAAGATTAGCATGGCCCCTGCGCAAGGATGACACGCATAAATCGAGAAATGGTCCAAAAAAACAAAACAAAGAATCCGCTGCACTGGTGGTTCACAAGAGAGGACGACCACAAATCCACACAACAGCTCGTAAACATGTCACATACTCGACTGGTGACACCCCATCATCCCTGCAGAAAACTGCAGATTCCAGTAATTTCGTACCAGCTAGTCGTGAAGTACTACCCTTCTTCACCCACATAGAGCGCACGATCATTCTCCATGTATCTAAAAGTTGTGCCCCAAATACAGCTACAATAACCGTGCATTCTATTGGGATGATGGGAGTTGTTTGCTCCTCAAAGACTATGGTCATCAGACTGCTACAGCACACAAAACTGATCCAAATCTGCTGGCACGATCGACTTCCAGGGTCGAGTTTTCTGGGATTCACATCTACTGGATGTGACCTACAATCATGGTTTCAAATGTGGGGTACAGTTTGCTCAATCACAGATCTAGCACCGATCAGTTCAGTAGTACCTTCATTTCGACAAGGTCCAGAATAGCTGTAATTTTCAGATTAATACCCTAGATCAAGCTTTCAAAGTCCGGCAGTTATGGTGTGTGCATATCGATCGCGTGGAATTTGCGATCCCGAAAATACCACATAAAAGGACTGAGGCTCATTAAGAGGATGAACAGATTTACGAATATAATCTTTGGAAGAGAACACCGTCCTCGGTCAATCCCCAGAAGCATCCTCGACTTCTGGAAAAAGGTAGGGGCCCTTGCATCGGGACTAAACTCCACTTTTTTTGTCTTTTTTTTTTCATTAGTCGAAAGGGCGATAAAAATATTGAGAACACTTGACAGTTACTTTGAAGTTACTGAGAGTTATTTTTCACTAAGTCTTCTGAGGGAGTGGACTCTTACACCTGGAACAACCTATTTTTTTTTTGAAGGCTAATTCTTTAAGCCCAACCAATTCAATTACCTGTCGAATCTGGACAGGATGGCCTTTCAGGCCTTTTTTATTGTCATTATAGTATCACGGGGAACCCCATAGCAGCCACATCCGTGCTCAAGCCTCCAACGAGGGAACATGCGGGGGCTGCACCCACCAGCAGGTGCGACACCTGCGACAGCAGGTGGGCAATACCGGCCAAGGGTCAGCCGGTAGCATCAGGACCGCATACTCCACCTGGAACAACCTAACCTAACCAGCCATGGAAATTGAAAAACATTTGCTTAGAAGTTTTCACCGACATGAATCTTCAGAAACAACTAAAAAGAGAAGAAAAATGAATGCAATCACATCTGAGCCGCCCAACATATTTGCCAGCATTAACATCACTCCTGCCATGACAGCTTCCCACCTGCTGGATGTAGTCGGCCATTGAAACTGCATAAGTCCTGCCCCGTACTGCCGAACAGCGGCCTAATCAAGAAAAAGAAAACCAAGGCGTGAAGCACAAGGGAGAGAGTATCGTAGAGCAAATCCTATCCATATGTATCAGGCCTTGCCTTACTAATGAACTATAGACATTGCCTGATCTCAAGGCGAACTACTACGTCCAAGATGACTGGCCACATTGCCTAATCTCAAACCGCCAGTACATGGCCCCAGGCAACTGGAGAACCCGCCCGTTTCGAGCCTCTCCGGAAATATAGGAGGCCGAGCACATTCAATTCAAAAAAAATGAATTGGCGGTGGGCAGCCTCCTAACCAAAACAGAATGATGGCGACGTTATGGCTGTTCACATTATTGTGAATCCGATCGACAATGTGAAACCCAGGACGTTCCTTTTCCTGACTGCAGGGGTCAGCCCGATTGCTCTGGAGGGGCAGTAGTGGTTAACCATGAATACCTCATACTTTCACAAGAATTTTTCCCGCCCGACTGTTCCATTGCTCAGCATCTGATGCTCCCTTCCCTTCCATTGCAGAAGGTTCGCCGCTGAAGCCCTTCACCGAATCATTGGTTACCCCTTGGAATCTACAATTTCGCTTTTTCCTTTTTCTCATGTGCCACTTATTCCCTTCTGAAAGCATTTTGTGGTTTGAGTGTAATGCTTGTGCTCAACAGTCCTAGTCTGCCAATTTTCCCATGGGGACGTTAAGAGTCTCAGCATGCGAGGTAAGAACTTTCCAGGCTCCACCTGAAGCTCTTTCAGACGTCAGTCTGGGAGACTCGCCAATGCTACCAGGAGTTGAAGTACAAACGAGCGCCTGAGCCTGAAACGTAGCCATCGGAATTTTACCACGCGGTGCAAATAAATTCCTTGACAAAAGAGCAAGGGGCATCTCATGTCGTCAGACTAGAGAACGATTTTACGGGACCCAAATACGATAGTACTGTGTTGACCGCAGTGGTCGACAGAAAAAAAAAAAACAAAAAAAAAAAGCTTTGATGTGAAGGAGACCCGTTTTCCAACTTTTCCTCTAAGAATTCACCGAAAGTGGGACTGTGGCGCACAAGCCTGTGTGTCAGTTCGTTGAATACAGGAGGAGGGACAGGTCATGGGCAGCAGTATAGGAACGTACGTACCCTCGAAAGCTGTCATCATTTATAGAGTGAGGGATCCGCGCAACGAAGATCCTTGTGATCCCTTGTCTAACAGCAGACTTCATTTCCTCCTGCAATCGTTGGCACCACCGTCAACATATAACTGTTGATAAACAGACCATGAGTTCAAATCCTGGTGGGGACAATAATCCTTGGGGATGCCCCATTCAAATCTTATCTTAGACAAAAGGTCAACCGCCAAGACGACTCCCGCCCTTCACAAACTTTGCACAGCAGCATACAAAGGCTAAACAACACCGCCAGCACAGAAAATCCGTTCGACGTCACCTCCACATTGGATATTCTTCGTCTCATCCAGCAATCCGGATCAGCAAACCAGACCATTATGCCCATCCCTCCACTTCACACGCTTCTGCAGATAGAGTAAATAAATCCACTACGCAAACACGGTGAACCGGATGGATAGACCAACACTCCAGCACACTACACAAAAGGTATATTGTCGAGAATCGAGTGTAGAGTGTAGACAGCCTCTGACTAAATATGCGGAGAGACTGCAGCGCTCCGGACAAGAGCTAAAATAAGACGCATTCACATATAGGCCATATGAATAAGAAACATGTCCACGTTCACATACGTTTACTTAACACTGTTGCCTCCCAGCTCCCTCATGCAACGCTACCATGTGGAGATGGCGGGTCACATGCGCAGATGCAAGGTCACTGGCAGGTCACCATCTCCTCAGCACTGACCTCTGATATCTGCAACGCTACCGCGTGGAGATGGTAGGTAACAGGACCAAGAAATAAAGAGAGACGACAGCATCTTCAATGTCCACGTCAACAAGATTCAATCTTGCACTTAGCAGCGCTGCAGGAAATCAGGAACCACCTCCGCTCAGCATATCCACATCTCAATCAATGTCAAATCATTCTTTTCGATCTTCATTTGCATACTCTTTCCCACTTCAAAGAACGCTGCTCACACTTCATTGCAAATTCAAAACTGCTGAGGTCGGGAATATCCCTCAACAAAAGACCCGAAAAAATTGCGTTCACTTTGTTTCCCTCAAAATCTTTTTGTTACGCCTTCCAATATCTTGAAACTCATTTCGACACTACAGACTTCTCCCCCATTTTCATGAACCATGCATACTTCGATGCCAATCTTCACGCTGGCACATCAATCCATCACCCAAATCTCACCTCCCCAATCACATCACCCGCCTTCCCTCGTAACGCACAAACTTCTCCACAAGTGTCACCAAATGAGCTCCAAAGACGAGGGAGGGCTCTTTCATGATGTGATATATCTCACAAGAGTTGCTCTTTTATTAGACACAGACCAACTCATGCACACTCAGCAGCAGATTAGCTGCAAGGGCAACACCGCTGTGATTGCATTGCATCTCTCACATCCACCTCTCTCGATAAGAGAGAGAGAGAGAGAACTCACACAGTCCAGTCACAAGAGTTGTAAAGCCCACTTTCTTTTTTTCTTCTCTTTTCTTTCTTTTTCAACACACCACACCACACATGCCCCATCTATTCAGGGGGAAGTCAGTCCGGTTGCTTATCGCTTATCACCGGCAAGCATGAGAAGTTCACTTCTACACCCTAACCCCAATTATAAACTTTTGCTAATACCTTAGGGGTAGCGACTTTGACTTCAATGTTCCGCCCGCCAAGCTCATGCTTGAGTTGAATGACTTTCTGCAGAGAGAGAAAAAAAAACGAGCATCAGATAGGGCACGCAATGGACCAGTCTTTTTAGCAAAAGACCCATGTTTCCTGAGGTTAATATAGACAATGGCTCCCACTAAGAATATATTGTCACAAATTTATCAGAGCGCAGAGCGAAAAAAAATACAACGAAAAAAAAAAAAATCATTTTTTTAATCTTCTTCCTTACAACTCCCCCTGTTCAGAACGTCTTGGGTACAAGGCCGCCGACGTGTATGTTACATTCTTGTCTTCTTTGTAAAAAAAGAAAAAAAGAAAACAAGGGTCAGAATAGGGACGTTGCGCTGCATCCAATGCAGATTCAAACATTACATTTATTATTTTCTGGAATTCTTTTTTTTAAAAGAAATTCAGAGATAAATTGAAAAACACTAAATTAGTAACTGCCCTGTGAGCCATATAGGCCGAAAGGGAGAAGCGGACAGAAAAGGAGGGGGTGTGACAGACTGTTTCGCAGGAGTTTCACCAACTCGTCAATCAGGAGGCTGAAAAAAACAATATATGTTGGGCAGCGATGCAATGGGACAAACATTTGGCTGCGGGGCATTGCGGAATTCCAAATCGCATTCCAAGTCTTTGGGGGGGGGGGAGGGAGGCATAGAAAAACGGTTACAAAAATATTTTTTGAGGAGCAACCTAGTCCAAACAAGATCTGGACATTCAGAACTTGTCCCGGGTGTCCGGTATCTAGACAAATCCGGTGTCCAGGTCCATGGTAGCCACGGTGAAAAGCTTACGAAACAGCCAAATCAGGCGAAAGCTCTCTTCACCCCACATAGCAACTGCAAGATCGTGTCATCGAACAGTTATACTTCGACAACCACTGCAGAAGAGCATCGGCACACAGCTATCTTCCATAGCCATGATGAGCAACTCAAGCGCCTAAACAGTAGCAAATGCCAAACGATCCCTACGACTCTCTCACCACATACTTCCACTATACCAGCGAGAAAGCACCCGTTCCTCAGAGACACAAAGGAGAAACATCTCAGTCGACATAGGGACACAAAACAGAACTGACTCTTTGAAGTACGATCAGTATAGAGCTCAACAAAGAGAAACATGAACACATCACAATACTGTTCACATCAGATTCATTGCCCAACTTTATCGCTGCGTCGAAGTCCAAAGCTGCTCTCATGTCAGGCTGTCCCGCAAGACCCACTGGAAATCGATGCCCGTGGATGATACAGCGCACCAATCGGTTGCACCATGACATTTGGTGAATTCAGCCCCAAGAAGGATACGCCAGCAAGATCAGGCCTTTCCGTTTTCTCTAACTTTTCACATAGGGAGAGAGGGAGAGAGTCACGTTGAGAGAGAGAGCATCTTCACACAGCCATTCCCACATGTGCCCAACTGCAATTATGGCCACCACTGGGTATATCTGACATCTATGCAGTCCAAAAACTTAGTCCCCATGGCCACTAAGTCCTGCAGAGAAAGAGAGGATGCGCCATTCACACACTGGGAAATGACAAGAGAGAGAGAGAAAGACCAGCGTGTGAACGAGTAGGGAGGGCGAGAGAGAAAAAGAGGGAGAGCGAGACAGAGAGTCATAGCAGTTACTGGTGACGGGCAAGCCGGTCTCACAGCCTCCCTCATACAGGAAATGGACAATATGAGGCCCAACCAGGCACCACCTCACCATGCACCTCTCTCTCTCTCTCTCTCTCCCTTTGACCCGTTCCCCACTCTTTGACGCTCGCACCTTCAGCAGGCTCAAACAATTTGCACATGGCATGGATTGCATGCATATTGCATCTTCCACTTGCTGTACGTGAACCTTTGCAATTCAGCCGAAAATTCGGCGAAAATCAGATTAATCACAAATAACTTGAAATAAGCCATAAGCAACTCATTTCCATGTCTTTTTTTTTCTTATTCTCTTTTTAATTTAGACCATTTCTCTATTTATGTGTGTCATCCTTGCGCACGGGCCATGCTAATCTTCTCTGTATCGTTCCAATTTTAACGGATATCCCCAAGGACAAATCATTTCCATGTCTCATAAACCACAAATCATTGTTCGGGAAAACTCAAAGCCAATCACACATTCACTGAGCCAACTGACAAATCTCACCTCTGCGTCATTCGAGTTGCAGAATGTAGCATATCCAAATCCCCTTGAGCGGCCCGTAGCCCGATTCTGTTCACACGTGCATGAACACAAATAAGCTTAAATTGTCTTCACAAAAACCTCAGCACACAATAATTGGGGGAGGGGGGGGATGCATTGGCCTCTCCATGACGAAGAGTTGTGGAGGGGCCACTCCTCTCTGGAAACGTTTTTCAAGATGTTCCCAAAAACTCTGTGAAACGTTTTTCAAGACGTTCCCGACAAAATCGCTGCAAAAAAAACAGCACCCTGAAAAACTGCTGTCAAAAGATGCATCAAACGATTTCAAGGTGTCTGCCTCACGGACGTGGAATTTCCTCAGCCTGGACAAGCACAAGCCGAACAAAAGGCCATGAACGCACGGCTTCCACCCATGCGATTCCCTACGCCCATAACACACTCTTACGCCAAAGGAACGGCTCCTAACATGCACATGGCCATATGATGTTTCTAGCTGAAGCCCCGCCAAGACAGAGAAAAAGGTTGTACGAATGCTCATAACACCTTAATTTCCCCATACCGGCCAGTAGTGCCGCCCAGGCACACACACTGCCGCCGAAAATCTTTGCACCCTCGGCCAGTCGCAAAAGTCCACGTCAATTGGCCGTGCGCACCTCGACTGCACTACCAGTTCGGTCCGGCAAACTTCCATGGCGGCGTCTGTGATCAAACAGCTTGCCCACACCCAAATAGAACGCCTGGTCATTATAGCTGTATTTGGTGCACTTTTCAGTCCAGATGCAGCTATAATAATCGGGCGTTCTATTTGGGTGATACGGTAGCCCACTTGCAGATATGTAAATGGATTTACAAAGGCTGAACGCTCTACTCTGTAGCAGTGTCTACAAACACCTGGCAAGCGAAAGGCACAGATTTTGCAGACTAGACTTCCACATCACGTCACGATTTCAAACACTGCTCCAGACGGACGGCTGCCCCCAATGTTATATCCATTCTCAGAAAATTGGAACCGTGCCCACTGGGACGAATAGTTTTCTAAGGTCGAACATAGCACCAGAGGGTCCTTTCGCAGCCTCCCTCCATCCTTGGGAAGAAAAAGGCACAGTTAACCTAACGTCGCCACGACACATGTCACAGTGAAAGTCGATTCAGCTCAGAAAAAAACAGCTAGGCAGAAAGAAAAAAGCAGGCATTTTGCACATCAGCAGGAGCCAAATTGCTGCCACCATACCTTCGATGCAAACAAACACTCAGAGGAGGGCCATCCGACCTGGCCCCCCACTTTCAGCTCCTGAGTAACGGGTTCAAAACTGAAATTAGGGTTTTTTGGGGGGGGTCTAATTTTAAGGGTTTCTTTTTTTTTTTGGGCCTGCTTTTGTTTTGGTCTGTGTGGCAAATTTGGTATCATTTGGGCTATTGGAATTTCCTCTGGTGAGATTTCTGAAATTTCTCAAGAATTCTGAAATTGGAATGTTGTGTCACTTTTTTCCGTGCGGTTTTACAGGCTTTTTTACTTGTCTTCTTTTTTTTGCATGTAGTTAGTATGATCTCCACTCTTTTTAGTATTTTTGTCTTTTTTTTTTTTTGCAAGTAGTTAGTATGATCTACACTCTATGAATTGCTGGCGAGTTTGGTTAAAATGACCCTTGGGTCTTGTTATACATGGCATGACAAGTTGTCTGAAAAACGAAACCTCCGTTAACCACCTCTCCCCTATGACATATTCATTTCCCTCTAAACCTCTGTGTAAGCCTTGCCCAGACATTTCGCCGGAGACGTCACGGGGACTTCACAGGAATTCATCAGAGACTTCATTCAACAGTGCCATTCACTTCTAGTGGAAGAGATTTGCTCTTGCATCATTTCATGATCGAGTGCACATATTTTGCTGCTCCTTCACTGCCAAATGGGGCTTCTTGCATGCTTGTTGTGCATTGGAAAACGGGGGGAACTCACAAAAAAAACAAAATTGTTGTAGCACCTTCGACAAAGAAACTGTGAAAAGCTAGGCTACCAGAGTGGCCCGGGGTTTTGATTTTATTTTTTATTCTAAATTTGGTGAAGAATTTCGATGTGACCCTGAGGCAAAAGTTGTTCAGTTTATTTTTCTGCATAACATACTTTTGCGAGGATCTGGGTCCTCGGCAGGCCTAAGTGGCCCCTGCTGCAGATGTGCCCGCCCTAAGTGAAGGCGGGACTAACAAATCACGAGAGGCCCTCAGCTGTCAACTTCGCATTTGGGGTCCAGGCAGTTTCGACGCGCCAGCTGGTTGAGGGAAACACAGGCCGAGCAGCAAGACATTCCACGGGCTTCCAGGCCTTTCCAAAAATGCAGGCCCTGGGCGAGAGTCGCAGCCTCATACACAGGCAGTTGGGAGGCCATACCGAACGGAGGCCCGGCAGCAGCATCGAAGGCACAGCCTCCTGGGGCCTACCAGAAGCTTCTGGGCGGAGGCCCAGGCCAGCCAGGGCGCCGAGAGAGGCAGGCTCTTTCCATATAGGAAAGAGCTCTTTCCATATAGGAAAGAGCCTCAAGGTGCTAGCGCGTGCGGTCGTGCAGGAAGCAGGGCGCTGCTGAGGGCAGCACCATAGCCCAGCCTTCATAGCTGGATGGGCTTGGACCACAGTGAGGCGCAGGGGGGGGTCTTCGGGTGTACAGAGGGAAGGTGTGGGTGCAAGAAGAGGGAGAGAGAGAAGGATGATGATGATGATGTGAGGACACATACCTGGTAGTGGCGATAGTCTGCATTAGGCGACATCTTCAAGTACTTCGTGGGCTGCTGACGTCAACAGTTGCATTGTCAATTAGTAGGCAGACTGTAGCTGTGTAGGAAGTAGGCTGGGCACCGAGCGCCAAGTAGGGAGAAGGTCCTGAACTCTTGTGTCGGTGCTGGCGAGAGCAAGCTCTCATTGACATTGGTTTTCAGTGTTACGATTCTCCATTGGTGTCATATTGGTACAATGCTTCATTCTGGACACTGACACTTTCCGGCTTTCAATGTGATTGTGCATTCTGGTTATTGTCATCTCGCTTCTGCTCATTTTCCTTGCAGTTTTCTTTCGGATTGTTTGGATTTTTTTTTTTTTAATGCTGGGACCTTCCCTGGTCCTTGCACGGGCTGGCCACCCGGGACCCAGGCGGCCCGGCTGGTAGCCTAGGTAAAAAGATGATAAAGCGACCACAATACCATTGACTGCTCCGCTGTTGGGAAGCAAGAGTGTGTGCATCATTTTATGAACGGATTGCCGGTTACGATATTGACAACGTGTGTTTTTTGAATTCAGTTATTCTATTTACCCATTTCATGCGCATCGAGTCATGGCATCGGAACCAATGCACCAAGCAATCTTCAGCAACACAAGTGTGGTGGACAGGAGGAGACAGAGAAGTGAGAAGGCAGCAGACGAAGGAGAGAGAGAGAGAGAGAGAGAGAGAGAGAGAGAGAGAGAGAGAGAGAGAAGACGGTGAGACACGAATGAAGAGTTTTATTACTAGCGCTGACGCATCACATAAATGGTGTTTTGAACAGCAAAGATCTCCACCCACCTTCATGACTACCACATCCTCCAACTCCCCAAACTTGCTCATGTATTGCCTTAAACCATCCGTATCTGTATCCCATGGCAATCCGAGGACCTGTTGAGGGAAACGGTTCAGTTAGCAAAGGCTGAGCTCGTGCACCATACATCAGCACGTCACAAACGAGAAAACACTGATACCACAGAATGGAAGAACGAAGACAAGCTGGAATTTCTTCACCGCTAAAGTGCGACAGCGACACAACTGGCCAGTGCAAACTGGGGCCCTAACCCCTTCCATGCGTCAATCAAGGACAATTACAGTCTGAGAATCAGTCGGGGACTTCTGGGCTTTGACAGTTAGGACGGCCGGAAGGGCCACACTGGCAGCTGAACACTATCGTCTTCCCCCGAACATTATGCATGTGTTGTATTCGAGTTTTCACAGAAGTAAAAAAAAAAAAAAATAGAACGCATATGCATTGCATTTGAAAATCATGGATGTCCGAATAGAATGCACATTAGTTGTATTCGAATAGAAGACAGCCTATGCATTGTACTCATTTACGACGGATATGCATTCTGGTAGGAGGGAGACAGTAAAGGGCCACCCACAGATTAAGCAAGGGGTTCTCTAAGGTTTTAGGGGTCAGGTAGAAATGATAAAGAAAGGTCCAGACAGGGTAAGGGTACACGGACTCAGAAGTAGAGACTCAGGGCTAGCTTCGCCAGTGGTGAGGGGTGGTATATCCTTCCCACAGGAAGGAATCAATAAGCCATAATGGGGAGAAGAGTTGGAGTGTGTACTCATTTTATGTTATACGACTTCACGGTGGAACAGAAATCAGGCATTTTATGTTATACGACTTCATGGTGGAATAGAAATCGGGCCAACGCTCCCCAGGATGGGTGGGGAGGCAGGGCCTTACGGCGCTTTTATCCTCCAAAATCATAAAAATATGTATTGTCACATTGTGAATCAGAGCGCAAAAAAGGGAAAAGAAAAAAGGAAAAGGAAAAAAGGGGAAGGGGAAGGAGGTAAGGAAATCTCCACCTGTTCATAACCTCTTACGTACAAGGCCAGCCACGTGGATGACAGGTTGAGCGCTGGCTGCCCCCATCCCCGTGTGACACAAGGACCCACTTGCACGCAGCCAAAAGGCAAAGAGGTAAAGAAGGGGAGGAGGAAACCAAACCTGACAGGGAAAGAAAGATAGGGAAAGAAAGATAATCCAATTATCACAAAGCAAATAACACATCCCACAGATCAACGTATCTTTTTTCTTTTTTTCTTTTTTTCTTTCTTTTTTCTTTTTTTCTTTTTTTCTCTTTTTCTTTTCTTCTTTTCTTCTTTACCTGCCCCCACCTCGGCAGATAGGACAGCTACGGTGAGGATGATGTGGATGTTCACAAGGATGCCCAAGGAGAGCTGCGCCAGCACAGCATTCTGCAGGACGGCTTGCACAAACCATCCCATCAAAACAGTCCTGACAGAGGACGTGTTGTCCACATGTCAAAAACACGGCAGGACATTCATCACAGTGCGGCATCATACAGTTCTGATAGCGTCCTTGGGCACAATAGGGACAACGTATATCTGGGTGATAGGGATGTGTACAATGAGGAAATGTTGGACACCCTACAGGACAGACGGCGGCAGTCRCAATAGATTGATAATGGCTATGGCATAGATGATGCATTCCACAGCCAATGCGTAACGCATCTCTGTCCCGACAGGCGTCACACGAGAGTCGGTCAATAATCCAGAATAAAGTATGATTCGACAAYGCTCRCAAAAWWTCATTCAYGTCGAAAATGACCTGACTCATCATCCCACCATCCCACAGTTCCCACTGGGCAGCTGCACGAATGAGTGCCATATAATGCCCGGGTCTATGTAAAATACAGGCAAAAATATGAGGATGGTTATTGAGGTCATCGCCTGGCGTCGCATGATGCATAAG